AGTCCCCCCCAAGTCCCCCACCACCCCAGCTCTGCAGCCCCTGCTCAGTCCTGACTGCAACTCCCCCACCTTCCATCCTTGTCCTCTCTGCAGGTGCCAGTGGGACCTGCGGGAAGTGCACACTCAGCGCCCGCAAACTCACACTGTGACGGGACAGAGTCTCTGTCCCCCAAGATTTTCAGGGGTGCAGGGCTGGCCCCTGGCCCCACCCAGCTGCTGCCAATCTGAATTCCTTGGCTCAGCCATTCCCCAGCCTTCCCACTCTAGCAAAGGCGTGAGAATGTCTTCCCACTCTTCCTCCACTCCATCTTGGCCCATCTGCGAGGCACCCCAGTCCCTTGAATTCCCACCAGGCCAGCCCCCAGCGGCACAGCGAAGGGGCAGCAGACAGGAGCAGGGCTGCAGGGCATCCGAGCTGGCGACAGTTCTGGGGCTCTGTGCAACCTGAGGAGCCAGAAGGACGGCTCCGGGGAATGGCCTCAGATCCCCTCCACCTTGCCAAGAAAGCCCTTTCCAGGCAAAGCAAGGTCCTGGGGTCCCTTGAAGTGCCCCTTTTCCCCAGGTGAGCCGAGCCCTGTGGCATCGCTCTGGAAGGCCCTTCACATCCCTGGCAGGGCTCTGAGTTCACCGTTCATCCCCGTGCTTGGAGTACAATGGTGCTGTTGGGTGGTAGCACCAGACACCCACATGGCCCCCTCTGTGCAATTCAATGCTCCGATGGCAACCCCCATGGAGACCCACGGCTCATCCGGCTTGCCCGCCACCGGGGGGCCAGTGCCCAGAGAGTTAAGTCCCCTGAAAGCAGAATCCCACAGACAGATCTAAGGGTGCCCAGGTTCCTGGCATCCCCAGAGGTGCAGCCAGAATCCAGCCAGTCCCAGATATCCCTGCCACAGGCCTCTGCAGATGGAGTCACCCCACCTACCTGGCACGGACGTGACCACCAGACCCATGAGGGATTGGCAGTCTGGGGTATCTCCTGCCCTGGCACAGAGCTGGAGAGAGCCCCAGGAATTCAGCTGCCAGGCTGGGTCTGGTGAGGCAGGATCAGGCTCACAAGCGGGGACTTGTTGCGTCACCCTGAGCACAGCTCCTCTTTTGTTATGGTTTAATCCAGCCACAACTGATGTGTAGGGTAGGGGCAAGATACTTTGCACCCTGCTCAGGCCCAGATAGGGGATCCAAGACAGAAAACAACTCAAGAAACTTAAAGCCGTACCAGGACATGGCTCTCCCGGGGCTGATCCAAGATGTGGCTACAGCTGGACCACTTGGAAATAGTGACCATAACATAATTACATTTAACATCCCTGTGGTGGGAAAAACATCCCCACGGCCCAATGCAGTGGCATTTAATTTCCGAAAAGGGAACTACGCAAACACGAGGCGGTTAGTTAAATGGAAATTAAAAGATACAGCGGCAAAGGTCAATCCCTGCAAGCTGCGTGGCAACTTTTCAAAGACACCATAAGAGAGGCCCAACTTAAATGTATCCCCCAAATTAAAAAAACACAGTAAGAGAACCCAAAAAGTGCCACCGTGGCTTAACAACCAAGGGAAAGGCATTGTTAAAAAGTGGAAGTTAAACCCCTCTGGGGAACCTGGTATTGGCCACGGTTGGCAGATAGGACACTGGGTTAGATGGACATTTGGGCTGACCCAGTCGGGCTGTTCTTACGTTCAGCCTCAGCAACACCCTCTGCATGAGATCCAGTCCTTGCAGGGAGATCCAAACACGCCGAGTTTAGCCTTAGAAGCGCTGTAAAGTAAGAAAGGGCTGCCACTCTGATTCTACATATGGGGAAACTGAGGCACAGAACAACGTGACTTGCCCAAGTTCCCACAGCTAGTCCATGCCAGAGCTAGGAAGAGAACCCAGGAGTCCTTATTTTCATACTGCTGCTCCGGTCGCTAGACCCACTTCCCTCTCCGAGCCAGGGTGTTACCGTCTGAGCAGATCAGGTTGGCTGGTCAGTGCCAGATGGGTGCAGTCCTGGCTTTACAGCACTGGCCAGCTGCTCCCCCACCTTCGCGAGGGGTGATCCCAGGCTCCTCCCAAGAAGCAGCTGCTCCCCCACCTTCGCGAGGGGTGATCCCAGGCTCCTCCCAAGAAGCAGCTGCTCCCCAGCTCCACTTCCAGAGAGAGCAGGCTGCCCTCAAGAGCGAGAGACGGGGCTGCAGTGCCATCTGCCGGTCGCCTGTGCCGCAGCAAGAACTGCATCCCACTGGCATGAGAGGGTGGAAAGAGCCGGGTTGGGAAAACAGGAGCAGGGCCTCAGCCGGGACAGGCGCGGGGGCTGCGTTGGGAGATGGGCGGATTGAGACAGGCCAAGGGGCCGAGGATCAGCAGGCTCCAGGGCGTTAGGATGAGGTCGTCCTTGCAGTCGGCCTGCCTGGCCCAGCGGCCCCCATGGCTTTGTGCCACAGTCCCCCGGCGGTCCTGATGCACATGCAGCTGACACTTGTCTCCCCAACCAAGCAACCTGGGTCGGGGGAGACCCCATCGCCGGCACACACAGAAAGGTGGGCAGGGGCACTTCCTGTCCTGCGAGGATGGGCAGCACTCAGCTGCTGGGTGCTGCAGGCCGTGGCAAGACCCAGCTGGATAATTCAAACGCCGGCGAAAAGTCTCTGGGTCACCGGGCTCAGGGCACTGCAGGGGGCACAGGGTTGTGCCAGCAACCCTGCTTCGGCTCCCCGCTGAGTGTGGGCCGCGTGGGAGCTGGCTCCCATCCTGGAAGGGTGCAGGAAGGTGGCAGGCTGGTCCTGTCCCAGGACAGGGATTAGGGCCAGGCTCCCTCTGCACTCAACTCTGGGCCAAGTTCCTGCTTCCTGAGCAGCAGGGAGAGGGGGGCAGAGCCAGAGGCTGCGCCAGACAATCTACTGCCCCCGGCTGCATTGGAGCGCGGGGCGACGCAACCGGGCACATAGCGCTGCTCTGATTGGGTCAGGGCGACGAAGGGACAGCCTGGCCAATCCTGCCACCCCAGACAGCTGGCCCCGGGCAGCAGCCTCAAAGTTGGGTGGGGGAAGGAGGGTGAGAACCAGGGTCTGAAGGAGCCAGTGCCTCCCACCCCAGAGCAAATGGCGCCCCGGATGGGACCAGGCTGCGGTTATGGCGACACGGCTCCTGCTTGCAGAAGAGCTGCAAGAAGAGACCCATTAGACCCAGCACAAGCGGCTGGGGCTTTGCTCCGATTGCTCAGCAGGTGAGAGGCTAGGGCTGATCTCAGATCCGAGAGACGCCCTGTAACTCTGCCCCCCAGCTGGCATCTCTCCCCTCCTCCCCCCGGAAGTTAACCCCGGCCAGCCGGGGGAACCTGTTAAGTACAAGCCCTGCCAAGGTGCAAACAGGGACTCTCCCGCAGGGGAGAGGAGTGCTAGGAAGGGCGAATCCCAGCCGGCCGCTGGAGCAGGTGCTGGAGGCGGGGCTGGGGTTGGGCCTGTCTCCAGCACTGGGGAACAGGCAGCGAGCGCTGTAGGGGCAGGAGCACTGAGTCCTCCAAGGTAGCAAAGCCTCAGCTTGCCACAGACTGGGGCCGACTTAGGGGTCTGCACGGTTCCTGGCAGGCAGGGCGAGGAGCCAAAAGGCGCTAGAAGTGGGACTGACACCAGGAAACATACTGAGGGGAGTGGGTGAGGTCCCTTCTTGGACCTTGCTGATGTGGGGGTCACACAGGAGTGGGGGGGGAGGACATGGGGACTGACAGGAATGAACTTCAGTCATGGCTGCTCCCCCCCGGCTCCTGGGGCCCCCAGATTCACCACACTACTGCAGGGCCGTCCTTGGCCTGATCCCACAAGGCCTCCCGAGTCCAGGAACTGATAACAATGTGACTCCTGGCAGGAGACTGGGCTCTGAGCAGCCAGCTCCGTCCAACGTACGTCCAGCTAAGCAACCCAAACAGCCTCCGCTCTGCGTCCACGCAGTGCCTGCAGGTGGCTAAAGGCACCGCCTCGCCCAGACCAGGACTGCAGGGCCGTCCTTGGCCTGATCCCACAAGGCCTCCCGAGTCCAGGAACTGATAACAATGTGACTCCTGGCAGGAGACTGGGCTCTGAGCAGCCAGCTCCGTCCAACGTACGTCCAGCTAAGCAACCCAAACAGCCTCCGCTCTGCGTCCACGCAGTGCCTGCAGGTGGCTAAAGGCACCGCCTCGCCCAGACCAGGGGCTGGTGCAGCGGAGTCGCAGCACCAGATACAGAAACGGCATCTTCTCGGCAACTCTCCTCGCGCACGTTCTGCTGAAAGAGGCAGGGTCAGACTTCAGCACGGGCAGCTCCAACCCCTCCCTGCCGCTGCTCTTCCTCCCCTGTGGGGCCACCGCCCTCGTTAACACCATCAATTGTCTGCTTAAAAGAGGCTTAGTTAACACACTGTGAAGGGTTGCAAGGCTCTTCCCTGGCGGCTGTTGTCATAGGCACGGCCAGCGGTAACGCGACATGAAATGCTGGTGCCCACTGAATTGCCCTGTGTAACTGACCAAAGGTTTCACTAACCTCTTCTCTGCCCTGGAGCCTGACACACCTTAGTAACACACACGAGTTCACAGGCTTGCTTTGCATCACTGGTCTCTGCACCAAGGCTGGCAAGGATGAAGGGGGAGGGTTAGCTCAGTGGGTTCAGCATTAACCTGTTTCAACCCAGGGATGTGGGTTCAATCCTCAGGGGGGCCATTTAGGGATTTGGGGAAAACCTACCAGGGCTGGTACTTGGTCCTGCCGTGAGGGCAGGGGACTGGACTTGATGACCTCTCGAGGTCCCTTCCAGCTCTAGGAGAGAGGTAGATCTCAATTTATTTTTATTAGAGCCAAATGTGCCTCTCTGGCCAAGCCACAACCCACAAACATCGGTGGTGATCTGTGCATTTAAGGGGCTCTGCTCATTAGCTTGTCTACCCACAACTGTCACCCCGAAACTCAGAGGCAGGCCAGTGCCAGTGACCCCACTTTACAGAAAGTGACCCTGAGATACCAAGACACTCGATTTCCCTGGGACCAAATCCTGGAGCAGGACTCACACCAGGAGGGGCCTCTGACGCGGGGATCTGTGCAGCCACTTTCCATCGCAATGACCTACCCCTGCCCCATACCCATAGGCACAGCCCTGCACCCGGGGCCTGGCCTCCGGGCAGCCTCCAAGGGGTCCCACTGGCCCCAAGCACTTTGCCAGCCCCCTTGGAGTCCTGCCGCCATTGGCTTTGACAGCCCCCCCAAGGTCCCTCTGCCCTCGGGCGTCTCACTGCAAGCTGCCCCTGCCATGGGCTCCACAGCCCCCAGTACCCCTGGGGCTCAGGGCTCTGCACTCTGCAGCCGCCACTCAACCCCGGGCGGGAGAGTTGCCAACTCTTCCGGACCAGCCGCCATTTCCGCCAATCGGACCTATTCCTTCGGTCCGGGAGAGCTGGCAACTGATCTCACCAGGTCTAACGTGCCAGCCCCATCCCCAAATAGTTCCCACGTTCTGTGCAGAGCCTGTCCCTGGCCGCTCCCCCGGTGCCCCTGTGCTGCTCCACATCC